CACCTGGAACCGCACCTGAACCTCACCTGGAATCTTCACCTGAACCTCACCTGGCCACCCTCACCTGGAATCCTCACCTGGGCCTCTCACCTGAATCTCATGTGGAATCCTCACCTGGCCGCTCTTACCTGGAATCTTCACTGGGAATCCTCACCTGAGCCTCTCACCTGGACCTCACCTAGAATTCTCACCTGAACCTCACCTGGCCACCCTCACCTGGAATCCTCACCTGAAACTCACCTGAACCTCACCTGGAATCTTCACCTGAGCCTCACCTGGAATCCTCACCTAAAGCTCACCTGGACCTCACCTGGAATTCTCATCTGGAATCTTCACCTGAACCTCACCTGGCCACCCTCACCTGGAACCTTCCACCTGAACCTCACCTGGAATCCTCACCTGGCCCCTCCCCCCCCGGCAGCCTCTGCGGGGCTCAGGTGCCCCCGCACACCTGGGCAGGTGAATAAATTAAAAATGGCGCCTGCAGCCTCCAGGTGTGAATTCTGCTGTCCCCACCAGGTCTGGATTTTGGGAAGCCCCGCCCCCCAGGTGTGAATTTTGGGAAGCCCCGCCCCCCCAGGTGTGAATTTTGGGAGGCCCCGCCCCCAGGTGTGAATTTTTGGAAGCCCCGCCCCCAGGTGTGAATTTTGGGAGGCCCCGCCCCCCAGGTGTGAATTTTGGGAAGCCCCGCCCCTCAGGTGTGAATTTTGGCGTCTCCCCCTCCCCCACCTGTCTGGTGACTCCGCCCCCGAAGCTCCAGGTGTGCCTCAGGTGAGAGCGGTGCTGATGTCATCAATTAGCGACCCATCAATTAACGATCAATTAACGACCCATCAATTAATGATCCTTTAATGAGCGATCCAGCAATTAACAATCCTTTAACGAAACGATCCGGGTGTGCCCCGCCCCCAGCGCTACAGGTACCGCCCGGAAAGGTGGGACAGGTGAGCCCAGGTGTGCCCCAGGTGTGTTCAGGTGTGCCCCAGGTATGTTCAGGTGTGGCCCAGGTGTGCTCAGGTGTGCCCCAGGTGAGCCCAGGTGTGCCCCAGGTGTGTTCAGGTGTGCCCCAGGTGTGTTCAGGTGTGCCCCAGGTGAGCTCAGGTGTGCCCCAGGTGTGCCCCAGGTGTGTTCAGGTGTGCCCCAGGTGTGTTCAGATGAGCTCAGGTGTGCCCCAGGCGTGCTCAGGTGTGTTCAGGTGTGCCCCAAGTGTGTTCAGGTGTGCCCCAGGTGTGCTCAGGTGTGCCCCAGGTCTGTTCAGATGAGCTCAGGTGTGCCCCAAGTGTGCCCCAGGTGTCTTCAGGTGTGCCCTGGGTGAGCCCAGGTGTGTTCAGGTGAGCTCAGATGTACCCCAGGTGTGCCCCACATGTGCCCCAGATGAGCTCAGGTGTGCCCCAAGTGTATTCAGGTGAGCTCAGATGAGATCAGGTCTGATCAGGTGAGCTCAGGTGNGCCCCATCCAGGTGTGCACACACCTCACCCAGGTGTGCACCCGCCCCATCCAGGTGTGCACACACCTCACCCAGGTGTGCACCTGCAGCTCCCCAAACCCACCCCAGTCCATGCTGGGCTCAGGTGAGCACCCAGCTGAGAGCCCAGGTGGGAGCTCAGGTGTCACTGCTGCAGTTTTGGGTTCCACAGGAG